AAATCAAATCTTTTTAAAACTCTGAATGCAAAGAAAAAAATCACTTCTATTCTTCATAGCTCTTTTGTAAATGTCATCCCAGAATTATCCCAGCTCCTACTAAGTATCATAGAAAAGTGATAACAAATTCCTGAGTGTTTATTATGTTCTCAGACCCTTGTCAAGTATGTTGATTATTGCTTGTCTTTCCATTCCTGGAAAAACCCTGAAAGGCGGGTCATCTTTTGGCTTTCATCATAAGAATGACTAAACAGAATGCAGACTTAAAATGCATCCCTTTCTTTCTTTCTTTCTTTCTTTCTTTTCTCTTTTCTTTTCTTTTCTTTTCTTTCTTTCTTTCCTTCTTGTTGGTGTTACTGTGGATCAAATGAATGCAGTGAAGGCATACTGAACTATATCCCCATCACTTTATTATTATTACTATTATTATCATTATTATTTTTAAATCACAGCTTTATTGAACTAAAATTTGCATACCACACAATTTATAAACTTAAAGTGTAAAATTCAGTAGATTTTAGCAAATTGACAAGGTGGTGGTACAACCATCACCACAATCAGATTTAGATCATTTCTGTTATCCCAAAACAAATCACCATTCCTACTAGCTATAATCTATCAGTTCCTCCCCACCTCCAGATCTAGGCAACCACTGGGCCACTCTCTATCTTCATAGATTTTCCTATTCTGGGGATTTTTAAGATTTTAAATATACTATGCTCAGGGCAACAATAAAGACCTTAACATATCCAAATAAATAGAAATCTTGCAAAGTGATTTCTCACATCATACTGGCTTGAAACTGGAAACTGACAGCAGAAACATACTTAGAATACAGTAACATTTTTTCTCTTTTCTTTTTTTTCTATTAACTTTTTTCATATAAGGAAACCACATAATGTTCAAGCTTGTGTATCTGATTTACTTCACTTAACATTATACTCTCAAAGGTCATCCATTTTTCTATAAATGCCCTAGGTTTATCTTTATGGCAAAGTAGTACTCCATTGTGTATAAATATTGAATTTTCTTAATCCATTCATCCATTGATGGTCATAAACTAGGCTGTTTCTAAGATATAGCTATTATGAATTTTGCTGCTCTAAACAAGGATATACATACATTACTATGGTATGATGTTGGGAAGATATCTAAAAAGGGAATAGCTGGATCAAATAGAATTTCTATTTTTAGTTGTTTTGAGGAATCTCAATAATGATGTCCACAGTGGTTATATCAGTTTACACTCCCACCAACAATGAGCAAGTATTCCTCTTTCCCCACAGCCTTGCCAGCATTTGTAATTTGTTGTTTTCTTGACGGTAGCCATTCTTTCTTGGGTGATATTAACATTGTTATTATTGAAACAGTGTCTTGCTAAATCATTGAGTTGCCCAGGCTGGGCTCAAACTCCCACTCCTCCTGCCTCTGCTTCCAGAAATGCTTGGAATATAGGTTCTTGCCACAACTCTGGGCTTATAGTACATGTCTGAAGACTGCACATGTAGCAATAAATTAAAAAGTGCATCAGTTGGCTCATAATCAGTTTTTATTGTTGTCCCTTTTCATTTTTATCTACACTTAATGAACATTTGTTCCTTCTCCAAAAGGCATGCATTCCTTAAGGCCACCCACGTACCCTGACTATAGTTATGTTGGATGTGATAATTAGCAGATCTCTGGTACACAGTAGGAACTTCACAAAATTTCTTACCAAACAATAAATATATTTTCATTGTGTCAAGGTTCATTGAATGGTAGAAAGAGAAAACACAAGCCCATAGTGATATGGAACACTTGATCAAGTTTAATTATGGTCTTTATGTAAAGGAGTTAAAATGCATATGACAGCTGTGTTATCTACAAAAACTTTTGTTTAATATTTTCATTTTTTAATGTCTCAATTTCTCTAGTCTTAATCTTTTTGTTTTCATGATTTTCTTAAATTCCCAAAAAGCTATTTTTACCCAAGTTAGTTCCATTGATATAGTTTTAGTGGCTCCTATCTGAAATCATCAGGAAACACTGTGTTTTTCTTTTTGGCTATTTCAAAAAAGAAAAAAAACCTTAATATCAGTATGAATAACACATGTGCTCATTGCAGCATAATGTTGGTGCAATCTGTGCTTGATACAGTTATAAATAAGTCTTTGAAATCATTTTTCTGTATTTTAAATAAAGGCTATAGAAAGCCACAAGAAGGATCTAGTCTTGTTAATATCACAAGCTGTTTCCCCACCTGCACTCTGGGCAGCTTTAGTACTGCAGCTGCCTGGGTTCGTGTTGGCACATCACTATCTGTACAGGAGCCCCACGCTTTACACAGAAAATGAATAGGCCACAGTTCCAATGGGGGTCTTTAATAATCCTTCCTCTAATGCTACCATGTGTGAGCATCGGGCTTTGAAGGGGTGTCAAGTGTGAAGTTTCAGGAGGATTATTTAAAGCCACTCAATTTTGAAAGGTAGAAAAGAGCATTACAAAAACTGGAGAATGCCTTTGCATTTCTCCTGCATGTTGATCAAGTGTGGTTTGTATTGATATTAGAGCTTCATGTCCAGCATAGGATAGCAAGTGAAGGGATGGGTATAATTACATGATTCACTCCATGTGGCCTCCTTTAACATGAGCAAACAAAACCTCAGTGTTTCATTGATTTTATTTACCAAATATTAGGTGTAAAACCATTAACCTAATGGGAACAAGTATCTGTCCAGCAGTACCTATAAAGATTAAATCCAGAAAGGAAGAAATTTTTGCAATGTTCTTGCCTGAGTATAATTGGGCAGCCACTGGACTTTCAGGAATAAAACAATCTTTTCCTGTTTGCTTTTTTCTACCTAAACTATTAAAAGTATTATCCATTGTAGTCAATCAATCATGGCCTTTTAAACCATGTGAATATTAAACACAAAAATAGTTTCTTTAAACTAAGAGATGTACTTCAATATCTCTTACTTCTTTTATGGCACTTTAAGAGTGCAAGAACTCTGTTTTGTGATTATAATACACATTTTTGTGGGTCTATAATACAGTGAGGAAGAGGTGAGAGAATTTATCATTTGGACACATACTATGTGCAGTTGTGGAATGAAAATGGTGGTATTTCATCAGGCATTTACTGCCCTGAATTTGGATTTAAGTTCAAATGATCTATAAGCATTGGGGACTTCAGTATTGAGTTCAGAAATTTTGTCTGTAGAAAGATATACAAAAGTATGTATTCTCAGTCCATACCCATTTCATCTGTAGATCAGCACTATGTTACACACTGCAGAACTGAAGACAATGATATGGGACCTAGACCTAAGGAGTCTTATTTTAGTAGGGATAAGAGAAGTCTAAACAGATAAGTGCATCAACAGAAGTATAGAAGCATCTTCGAGGAGAAAGCAGTTAACTCTCTGGAGGTAAACCAGAAAGCCCTTCTGAGAAAGTAACATCTCAGAGCAGGGCAGAAAATAACATTTGGAACTTTTCTAAGTGAATTAAAAGTCAGACACAGTACTGTATGCAAAACATGATTTTAGACTATATACAAAATTACCAGAACACAATGTCAATTGGGAAAGGATGGAGGACTCAACAGATGAGTCTGCAAAAAACACAAGAATCCCATCGTGAAAGATATCCTACCTTAAGAGTCTTAGATTGAGGAATCAACCAAAGGTTGATATGTTTATGTTTGTGTTTTTGGAAGTGCTTCTGGCACTGGGCAGTGTGGTCAGCAGAGGCCTGAGGAAAGAAAACCAGTTTGAAGGATTTTGCTAGTGCCAACCAAGATAATGGGGTAAATGGTACAATGTGCGCGATGGGAAAAGGAAACAAGGCAGGCAGGAGGTAGATTCATCAGGGGTCACTGGAGTGAAGCAAATGTGGATAACATTTAGGTCTCTGTATTGCAATGACTATCTGAAGTTCTTTTTCATAAGGTTCACAGAACTCCACTCCCTCTTAAGTTATGAGAGAAAATGGTGACTTTTCTGACCACTGTTCTGAATATTTCTAAACCCTAAAAATTGTCCTGATTTTATTCAACAGAGCATATACAGTCTATAGTCTTGTAGGACCGAATAACCAATGGCTGGTGCCAGCAGAGCTTGACAGGTATCTTGTGCCTGTCACTGCTTTACGACAGAGTTTTAAGCCACAGACTAAAGATGATGGTAGCTACCACTGCCCTCCTTAAAGTTGAAACAGCTTGCTTGTACTTTGCCCTAATATTGTCAGGAAGCACGATTCCTTCCCCCAGAAAACTGCTCTAATTGGATTCGGTGAACCTTGACTGACTTGTCACAGCTACTCTGAGGGAAAAAGTAAAAACTGTGAGGAGTTTGTTCATGAATATAAGAGCAAATATCTCTGATGAAGACATTTTAAGAATATATATTTTATGTACTTATTTCTTATTACTTTTCTATATCCCGTTTTATATTATATTTGACAAATAACTAGGGGAAAGAAAAGATGGGGGAATGATTTACGCCATAATGCAGTACATATTCATTTTTTTAGGTTTATTGATAGCATGTGAAAATTGTGATAGTTGAGCTTAATTATCATCTTGTCTGAATTAAGTGACATCTAGAGAGAGGATTGGATCATGGGACACTGTACTCATCAGTGGACTAGTTCACTGATGTTCATAGCTGAATGTACTGTTAGGAGATGGAACCCAATCGGATGTAGGCCACTGTGCATGTAGGCATGCCTTTGGAGGTATAAGATTTGCTGGTACCCTTCCCCATGTTCTGTTTCTTAGCTACCATGAAGTCAACAGCTTCCTTCTGCTATGCTTCTCCACCATGATATTCCTGCCTTGAAACCAGCTAACCATGGACTCAATCCTCTGAAACCATAAGCTTTAAAAGAAAGATTTCGCCTTTAAGTTGTATATTTTGTCTGAGAGGTTAAAAATTAACTGATGTAGATATACAATTTAACATTATTTAAGTTTTATTCTGTTGGATTAAAAATTTTACTTTCAAATTTTATAACAGGTGGGAAGTTCTGTGGAAGCCATACTACTTGAGAAGTTGAACAGACATCCTCAATAATCAGGTGATCAGGAGGGGAATCACAACACATTTGTAAGGTGAGTTTTTTCCCCATTTGGTACTTGGTCTACTTCCCAGGAAGCCACAATGATGTTGTGATAAATAATGGAATATCATTTATTGCTTTGCTCTAAAATTTGAGCATTAAGAAAAGACATTATCTAAAATAATTGTTGTTGCATTTTTCTTGAAAAATAGGGAAAATGTTAATTCAAACTTCTTATCCAAATTTTCTTAATTCATATTTGGTGGTAGGACTACTATCATTTTCTGAGGTTTTGTACAATACTCATCTGCAAACACATATATACATATGTAATGAATAGAAACAAGTGTTTACTACTAAATACTGAAAAGCTTCATCAAAAGTCTTTATCTGCCTAGATTACCAAATAGAAAGTGTGACTATATTCTAAAAACATGCATATGTTAAATTATTTAAATGGCTTTATGTCCCAGGTAGCAGAACCAGGATGCTCAGAACATGCAACAAGGTTGTGAAGACTGTTGGTTCTAAGTCTCAGTTAAGGAAGTGGCTATTTCAGTCTTGTCCATTTCATAGGAACCACAACGATGCTTTAATAAATAATGGTACAGTTTATTTCTTTGTTCTTTTGTTGGGAAGAAAAAAATATGGCCTGGAGAAAGTTGGAAGTGAGATTTAAAGACTGATAGGTGCATAGCAAGACACTTATCTCCTTTAAAGAGAAAGCAAACAGTCCAGGAGGGAACCTTGTTGAAAGGTGAGCCAATCAGAGTTGGTTCTACTAAATGAAGAGGCTGAAAGTAAAGATACCCTTGACTTCTCAGCTTCATATTAAAACATTCTACTGTTCACCTCTCATCACCCTGGTTCTCTAACAAGCAAGTTGACATTAAGTCTTCATTTTTTAGAAATTTTAATATTGGAGAAGTATATGAAGTGTGTCACCCAGAAACGTAAGAAGCAATTCTCAGCATATTACACTCTGTTCCATTTTCATCTGGCTATATTTCTACTTTCTTTTAATGAGTTGTTTGATTATCACTCCGCAACTGAGAATACTTGAATTCTGAGGTATTAAAGAGCAATGTGACTGGAAAAGCAAGCAAGCTGCAAGTAGATCAACTTCTGAAAGTTTATCATCACTGACATTAAATTTGTCTGTTTGTTCAGAAAGATGAGGGACTAGGGTTTTATAAGACTAACACACCTACAAGTAAGGATATGTTTATGACATTTTCCTATGTTTTTGTCTCCTATCTGGAAAATTCTGGCTCAGGAGTGAATTATGATAATAACCCCCTGAAGGGCCTCAGTGTGTGATTTGACTAAGTACCATTTTTTTGACAGGCTAGATTTCTGAGAAAGTATTAAAATTCTGCATTGACAAAAACTTTTGACTTACTAAATTGAAACTCATAAGGAATCTCTTTCAACTAATCTCATTCCAGTTCCATCACAGGGGTAGTAAGGGAAAGGAAACTGTTCTATTTCCCTCAAACCCTAAAATTCTTCCAATTTTTTTCTATAATTTCTGATTAATGGCAAACTTGATTTTGATTTATATGATCCTATTATTCATTACAAGGGGAAAAAGAAGTCACTTTTTTCAATTTAATTTTAAAAATTAGGGCTGGCAGTGATGGAATTTAAAATCAAATTATCCTGTCAGAGTGACAGATAAATCTCAAGAGTTTCTAATGAGATTTTCCACTCTCAGGATGCTGAAATTTTCCCTTTCCCAGACTCCTCCAGTCCAAGTTTTGACAGTGAGTGACAGTGAACATCTGTGTTTTGAAATATGGTGTTATTTGAGGTGTTTTGGTTCTTATTTAGAAAGTTTGGGGTGGCTTGCTTCCCTGTTTCTTCTATGTTAAAGGGAAAAATGTGTTTCCATGAGTGTCATGTGGGTCTTTAACTATGAAGAGTTGTAGGTAATTATCATGTACCTCTATTTGGTTAAGTATGGGAGGTTCATCAGTTCTCCTCTTAGCTGTATATGGTACTATTCATAAAATGATTTACTATTCTTAAAATGAGCTGTTGTAAATATGACACAGTAATCTTGCTATGCTTCTGTTTTACTTTTTTCCTATTATCATAAATAGATTTTGAAATGTGATGTGCTTTAATGGTACTGAGTAGACCTCTATCGTTCCGTATCCAGTTAACAATTTTAATTTACATAATCATGGATTGGCAATTCTCTATTTCTCATAGCTAAAAAGAAATAATTCTTTGCTTGTCTCCAAAATGTGTACCTGATGCCAATCCTTAAATAAAATAATGGATGTGCATTTCATTCCTCTGCAAAAGAAATGTCTAAGATAAATGAGCCCTGCATTCAATGACACAACCTAAGAAACAAAATTGCCAATGGATAGTTGAAAATGCCTTCCAGAAACAAAAGGAATGCAGTAAGAATTTATTACTTATAAAAAATTGGGTTGGAGTGGAAAGCATTGCAATGTGAGGTGGATTCCAAACTCTGTTAGGAGTCAGGAAATATCTTGAAGCTTCAGTTTCCTCACATGCATAAGAAGGATTTTAATCTTTTTACTTTGTTTTTTGTTCCTTCTTAAAATTATTAGCCTAAAGCTAATCAAAAGCTACAGCTGTAACACAAAACTTTGCTTCTTATTATAGTTCTACTTTTGCATGTTGCTGCATCCCTAAACAGAAGATATTAACCAGTAAGTGCCCCCTGAGAAGTATGCTTTGGTTACTCAATTATTATTCCAAAATGAGAAGTGGTGAGAATATTATGTAATAATTCAAAGAGCAGACGATACTCAGAAGAAAATGTGGCAAGGCACCTAAGTGTAGGCCCTGAAGAGCTGCACACACTGTACATTAGTTAAGAGTCTTAATAAAAGAACAGAAAGAAGGGAAAATAACACAAAATGAAGAATGAATTACTTAAGATTAAATAGTTTCTATTACAGAAATAGGCTACACGTAGAGCTAATGGCAGGCATTTTCTACAGACAGATGGAATGCTCTCCTCTCCCAATAGTATTGATGTGAAGTCTGTGTTAAGATTCATTTTTCCTGAAACATTTGCATATAAATATAAACATCATTACTAGGGGCTAATTGCCCTGTAGGAACTAAAATGTGGGAATTAGCATCTTCGGTCGTTTTTATTATTATTTTTTAAAGTATCTCTAACACGCATCATATTTGGTACTGCATGACTGCAACAGATAATTACCACCATTAAGAATCTCAAACGCAAAATCAAAACCATTTGGAATGGCTTCCAGGGCAACCCAGCACAGTGAGTAGCCACCAAAATGAATATAGCAGGTTTATGTTCATGCATATTCATAAGGGTACTTAATTCGACAGTCATAGTAGGAGGCTTTTGAAAGCTTGTCAAAAGAGCAGCCCCTAAACAAGACCAAACATCAAAGGTAAGAAGATGCAGTACATCTCGCTCCCACGCACATACAAATACCGCTTGCAGGAGGCAATGAATAAGACTAAAGGAATTATTTATTTTAACTACTCAGAAAAGATGGCAATTTCTACGAAGATGTAAACCACAGTCCTTTACCTTTATCATTCATCTTATTGATCAGAAAGGTCAGTGGTATAAGTTATTCAAGGGATGGATCATAGGCAGCAATTCTGAAGAAATGGGCATGTAGATTGGCGTGATTAATTCCCCTTGCTTGTACAGAATGTAAGCAAGAGTTTGAAGGCTTGTCTTAAGCAAAGGAAAAAAAGCAAAGTGTGTGAAAAACAGAATCATGGCTGAGTTGCTGAGGATCTGAAACCCTCCCCATTTTGTGGGTGGGTCTGTGTGTTCCGCATACAGGTGCTGACTTGATCCAGTGTTGTGTTCCCAGGCGATCTTGCTGACACTTAGACTTTTCAAAACCATTTCCATGGCATTCAGCAAATGTTTGTTCTGGTGGAACAAATCTGTTAAATTATAGATTAGAAATAGTACAAAGAAACCTTTACAAATGTTTCCGTTTCAGTTTTGCACAAAGCAAATAGCATTATATTTAAATGCAGCACTCCTTGTTAGAATAAAAAATCTACATAGCCGTACTCTGTGCTCCATTTTCTAATTCTTTTCTCCTCCCGCTTTTGAGGCACGGATGCTTGAAGTTTGGGCAAACACAGATTGTATTTAACATGACATCTTACCCCTTGCTTTCTGATGCCCACCTCTGCAAGTTCTCCTGGTTTCCTTCTGTTCCCTCCTTCTGACTTTCTCTCCTTTTCATTTCCCATGCCCTTGGGTCTCCCTTATTCCTAGCAGTAGTCTATTGATGGTCTCCTGTGAGTAAGCATTTAGTTCTGTTCCTTCTCCCCTTATACCTTCATATCATCATTGCCTTAAGAAAATATTAGAGAGTGACATATTTGTAGTTTTAAACAGTTCTGGAGCTGTCAAGATACTACTAGACTTAGTGCATACTCCAAATTACCTCGTTATGAGTAACCTTATGTGGATAAATCAAACATTATATAAAGAATTCAAGGTAAAAAACAGAAACTTTAGTGATCCTTTTATTGATGAAACTTTTATTTTTAGGGCCACATATTATTTTGCAATGACAATAATCATTGCTTTAAAAATTTACAAAAGGTTTTTTTTAACTGCTTATAGTCAGTGGTGATAATAGTTAAATCAATAAATGATTTACTTGAGAATACCTAAAAAGACCAAATTATTTAAATTGTGTTTTCTCCAAACCACTCTTTCAAAACATACTAACTCAAGATAACGTACTAACTCAGTGGCAAGCACATTCTAAAATTTATTTTAAAATATATTTTAAATATACTGAGATATAAATATTGAAACATCATAAGCATGTAATGTATACACAGTGGTATTTACAAGAATATTTGAACAGGTAGAATAATTAGAAAACAGTCATGTATATGTGTGCCTACCTGTAAAATAAATATGTATAGAACAAAATGTAAAACTTTCACGAAAGAAGAATTAATAAACAGGGTTGAAAATACTGGCTTTCTTTAGAAAGGGCAATAATTTAGATCATCATTCACAACATGTAACAAAAC